AAAGTGGGTTGCTATTTCAGTTAGAAGTAATCTTATTAACATTTGCTAATTCTGTAGGAAGATCTAACACCTTTCCCTTTTGTTCACCTATTGTGCATTATGACACCACAGCTACATCTCCAACCTACATCTGTGCATCTTAACACAGGTTTCCCTTTTCTCTTGGATATTTCATTATCTCACAATGTCTAGTCATGAGCCTATGCCTAAACAAAAGAAGGTGGTTGAAGGATATTAACTCTTGAAGGCAGATTTTTAAAAAAGAGGATTACATTGCCGTTTCTGTTTTCACTGATAATTATTCTCCTATAGTTTGCCAACGGCTACAAAAGTTTTTGAAATCTTTATCTTGGATATGAGCAATAAATATATGTTTATATAATGACAATCATGGAAATGATTTCATGTCTGAATTGATAGGGTAATTAAAACTCTTTTAGTCAGATACTCTTTTACGTTTAATTATTTTGCTTATATTCACAATTTTTTTTAATAATCAGGCACAGCACATTTATTTAAAAAGAATTTTTAAAGTATGGGGGACAGAAATAGATAACGGAGATAGCACAATTTCCTCATAGACTCAAGCCAAATTAACAATCAAAAGCCAGAAATAGTACAACTACAATGATAACAAATTAAAAACAAAAAACAAAAAACACCCTCCTCGCAGTCTTTTTCTAGGTATAAACTATTTCACTGTCTATTTAGCCATAGGTGAGTTTGCTCACTCAAGATGCATTTATTTGAAGTAATGTGGTATTTAAAATGGACACTCAAGGTAATACTCAGTAAATTTAAGTTCTACCAGCTCTTCTACTCGCTGGCATGCAACCTTGAAAAAATGACAATTTCTCTGAATTTTATTTTTTCTCAGTAAAATCCAATTGATTATGTCTACACTACCAACTTCTCGGGATTCTTGTGAGAAAAAAAAATTTTTTTAACTGCAGAGAATTACATAAAAATAAAATAGCAGAATTTAGTGCTTGAAAGAAATGAGAAAAAACTAGAAACCGTAATACATAGAAAATGCAAAATAAGTTTAAATAATAAGAATAAATATAAATGTTAAATAGTAATAATAAATATGAATGGTTTTAACGTACTTATTAAAAGAGTGGATAAAAATAAAATCTGATATTGTTTATTTTTCATCTATGCGAACCAATGATATAAACCCTTGGTATCTCTCTTTAATGATTCTATTCTGTAACCTCTTTTAATTGTATCTTAGCCAAACCAAGAGTAAGCATCTATTTTCAGAAGGCATTATTTTGTATATTGGATGTACACACACACACACACACACACACACACACACACACGCACACTTTTTTTTTTTTTTA